ACCTTTGAAAGATTTCACTTGCGTTTTTAATCCCATACACATTACTGTGTATCATAGTACTCCAAGCGATATTGCTATAGAAACTTTATCTCAATCCTCTTCCCTGATTCCTATTTGCCAATAACCTTTAAATGCATCTACTGATGTATACGAGTCATGGCCTGCTGCTTGTTTTAAAATGTCCCAGATTATCGGTAGTAGGTAGCTGTCTTTGATAATATACTTATTGAGCGGTTTCATATTACCAACTGCTCTTAACTTGTCCGTCCCACCTTCTTTTTTTTGAACGGGAAAGCAATAGTAAGTGTACTCTCCTGACCCTTTTTCCAATAATCCGCATTCGATCATCTCTTTTAAGTAATTCTCAAATAGATATCTTGTTTCTGGATTATTTATTTTTATTGGACAGAGTCTCATAGATGGAACAATTGTGTTGCCAGTTCTAACTTCGTATTCAACAAGGTTTGTTCTACCAATATCCTTCAACTCATATGCAAAAACTTCGGGTACCCTTTCTATTAATCGATCAATTATCATTGTTCTTATTGGCTCATCACATGCCTTGGGTCCCAAATTTATTAGTGCACTTTTGTCTTTCGTTAGTCTTGATACAATAGGTACTTCCTTTCCTTCTATCGTACCATTGTTTGTTTCATTGTTTATATCCCAATAACTCACTCTTCTACAAAATAACAATCCTTCTAATTCTTCATACTTCATTAACTTAATTTCACATATTCTTAGTTACTCTTGTTTTTTGCGTTATTTATAAAATTTGTACTCCACTATTTTTGTGTGAATTATGCTTATTTATCCCTTCAAGTTCATCTACTTCGATCCTTTTTACAGCCATTATATCATCGACTTCATAATCACTTTTATCATCGTCATCGATTTTATTCTCATAATCGCTTTGCACTTCACTAATCCAACTCTTGAACACAGTTGACACGATAAAGGACACAGATCTGGTAGGTGATGAAATTGTACACCAATATTCAGTCCCTTTTTACCTAAGATGCATTGTGTTTTTGTATTCCATGGCATACCTAGTAGAATATCAAAACTGGCCATCTCCATCACGTAGAACCCTTGATCACAACAATTCCTTCTATATCGACTTTGATGTTAGGTATATATCCTACGAATTGACTGATTCTATTATCAGCTATTTTGCTTTTTCTACCAACTTGGTTCTACACTAATCCCCTTTTAACCGCATACTTTTTCATCATCAAGTTTATTCGTAAACCTGAATCAATAGGTGTTTTAACCATCTCACCATTGATCTTAACTGACCATACAGGTACAACTTCGTTCGCACTTGATTTATAGTATTGCATAACTCTACGTACTATTCTAATTTTTATATTTTGATCATCAACGTTGTTCCTTCTTCGTCATGTTAACACTTTTATAATTTCTGATCAAGCTTTTGGCTACCATTTAAATAACTGTCCCATTGTAAGTATTATTTCTATACCTGACATCTTTTTAAGAATGTTAAGTTCTTTAGAAAGTTCAGCAAATGGTATGTATATTACATTGTCATATCGTTTTGAGTTTTGGCTATTTTGCATTACATCATCATCCTTTTCATTATTATGTGTTGTTTCTTGAATCTTCTCTTTTTTATTCAATGTACCATTTCATTAACATCATTTCCTCTTTTCCTCTTACCAAATGCTCGTACGTCCCCATATTTATCTTCATTCAATAGTTCTATTTTTAAATATTCGGCATTCTTTTTGGGACTTGTTTCCGTGAATTCAAATAGTTGTACATCAGTATTATTAAATGTCATGCTTTTGTCAATCTGTCTAGAGATCAAATTGCATTTCGGACAGTCTTTCACTATATCACTAGAAGTTGAAGTTTGGCTATTATCAAGACTGTAAGAGAGAAGAAATTGTATGTTAAATTGGTCAGTCCAGTGTAGTCAATATGACTACTACTGGTATTGTTAGACCAGGTAGAATGTTTGTTGTTAAAGTGAGCTCCAACATCATACATATTGGTGTTGTTAAGAAAATTGATAAGTTTATATTTAGAAGAAGAGCTGTGAGTATTGTCTTGTGTAT